GGCCCGGCTGGTCAACAAGGGCTGGATCCTGGGAATAAGCTCATGGGCCAGTGAGCAGGTCCTAGTTGAGACAGCACATCTGGAGCCCGGAGCAGCAGGGCTGGAAATAGACGGGGATAAACACGCAGGAGTCTCCTGGGGCCGGGGAGCCAAGGCGGATGAAGTGGGGGCCTCCCGGCTGAGGGGTTCCTGGGCTGGGTGGGGATGGGGCAGCGAGGAGGAGGTCTGGGGAAGGAAGGGAGGGCTCAGAAATGCTCCAGGCTGGGGGGGGATCTTCTACCAAAGTTGCAGCGACAAAGGGCAGACCCCTGAGAGTCATGGGCTGACATCGCAGTCTGCCACTGCCCCATCCAGGAACATTTTCATTTCCCTCATTTGGCCAGCAACTGACCGAGCAAGACTGAGCTGGGACCAGGATCCCAAATCTGGGGCCCCTGCTCAAGCACTAACTGTGTGACTGTGGCTATCACTCACCCTCTCTGGTCTCAATTTCCTGCTCCCCGCAAAACAGGATTGAAAAAACCCCCTCCAGGATTCCTTCTGACACAAATTCTATGAATCCCTCCTCTTTTATTCATTCCTTCAACCTCCCTCTTACTGGCACTGCTCACCATAACTTCAGTGCAGGGCAGGCGTGCTCCTTAATTTCCTGGCACACTCCCTGTGCATTCCTGCCTCCCTGCTCTGGGCCACGTGGGCCCTTCCCCCAGAATCCCCACTCCTTTCTGCTGATCCAGAGCCTGCCCACCTTGCTAGAATAACAGAGCCTTAAAATGCCAATTAATGGGCTGGTCATTATGTAAAATGATTTTGACAGTGTAACCCAAAAACAAGGCAATTATAAAGACTACCTTCAGTCCTGGAAAAAAAGGAGGTTTATGATAATGTTATGTGAAAACAGAAAAAACAAGACAAAATATGCACTTATCATTAAAACCATATAAAAATCTGTATCCCAAGGAAGGGAAAAGGCAGAAAATAAAATGGCTGTTTCAGAGGAGTGGGAGTTAGGATGGTTTGTGATTGTGCTTGCTTCAAGGCTCATTATTATAATTGCAATTTTATTTTTAATATAAACACAGCTTTGGGAATGAAAAAAACCCAGCTCTCAAAGCTCTCACACCTCTCTCACTCCACCTCCTCCTGGAAGCCTCCCTAACTCTTGCCCACCAGGATCTCTCCTTGTGTGAATTCCTGGGGCACAAGTTTGTGTCTTATTACACAGGGAACAGTTGGGGAACAGAGAGCCCTGGAGAGGGCCAGGCAAGGGCCCTGGAGAGTTCCGACTCTCCTACTTAGCTGCCTGGCCTTCAGCAGGTTCCTTAACCTTTTTGTGCCTCAGCTTTCTCAACTTTAAAATTGTGAAGGGGACTTTCCTGGTGGTCCAGTGGATAGGACTCTGAGCTCCCAATGCAGGGGACACAGGTTCAACCCCTGGTCGGGGAACTAGATCCCACAGGCTACAAGTAGACAAGCCCAAAGACTGCAACAAAGACCCAGTGCAGCCAAAAAGGAAAGCAAAGAAAATGAAACTGTGATTAACTTTCCTACCCTGTAGGATACTGTGAAGGTCCCCTGGGGTAACCGCTGTATTAGCACAGTGTGGGAGTCAGAGAAAGCTCTCTGATGGTGAGAGCTCTCTGATGGGAGGGCTCTCATTCCCAAGCCCCCCCATCATCAACATCATCACCCTCCCCATCATCGTCATTGGCATCTTGCTTTGTGGCCGAGCGGTGTGGCATATAGTGATATGCTTGTCTTTCAAATCTGGCAGTAGATCCCTTGAGGCTGGGCCCCTACACCTCAGAGCAGCCAGTCAGTACCAGGCACGCAGCAGAAGCAGAGGAAGTCCCCTCCCCGGCTCTTTTCCATGAACACTCATTCTGCTTCCTTCCAGGTACACCAGGCAGAAATAAATGTCCCTTGCAGGGAGGTAAGAGGACTCCAGATAAAGGAAGCCCTTTGTTCACCGTATGCCATAGAGCAGGCTTCCTAGGTGGTGCAGTGGTAAAGAACCCGCTTGCCAATGCAGGAGACACAAGAGACATGAGTCCGATCCTTGGGTCAGGATGATCCCCTGGAGAAGGGAATGGCTACCCGCTCCAGTATTCTTGCCTGGAAAATCCCATGGACAGAGGAGCCTGGCGGGCTACAGTCCACGGGGTCGCAGAGAGTCAGACACGACTCAATGACTGAGCACACACAACAGGCCACACAGCAGGATGTGGGGAGGGGAAGTCAGCCCGGCTCCTCCTCCAGGCCATGAGCCACGCAGTGCCCTTCACCCAGGCTGGGGGACGCCGTGATGAAGGCCTGGCCCACGGGGACACAGCGTAGAGGAGAGAGGAGGGCCTTTTCTGCACTGTCAGTGGAGACGCCAGGGCCGCACTGTCCTTGTCTATAAACGGGGCGGATGTGACTGTCCTTTTCCTGGAAGAGCTGTTGCAAGGACCACATGAGAACATTTGGGAACAAGCCTCCAGGAGTGCAAATGCTGGACACACAGGCTGGTGATTAGAGCTGCCGTTCGTCCATCACCACATGCCGCCCCTTCCTCACCCACAGCCTGCCGCTCTGGAGTCCCTGCCCCCACCGCCGACCAGAGAGGGAAGCTCATTTGGGAGGAAGTGCCTGGGGTCTCCGGCTGTTCCCTGGATGGGCTGAGCGAGGAGGGCCTTAGAAAGAAGTGGGGGCCACAGGGGGTGGGCCTTCTCCACCTGCCCTTCCTTCAGGCCACCTGAATGTCCCCGAGGCCTCGGCGCCTACTGTGAGGCCACCTTTAGTGCCATCCTCGGCGCCCGCTGAAGGGGCACGGAACCGGGTGCCAGAGGCTGGTGCCAACTCCCTTCTTTGGACACCCGGGGGGAAGGGAGGTGGGGGCGAGCTGTGGGAACAGACCATTCCATGGCTCTGTGGGGCCTGGCCACGTGGAAATGGCTCGGTGTAGCCTCTCCAACCCAGCCCGGGCATCCTCAGAAGGGTGAGTGGACTTCACATGGCACAGCGCACTCCTGGTGGGGACAGACCACCCCCGCCACCCGCACCCCATCCACAGGAGGGAGGCGGGCAAGACGGCTCCATGGCTGAAGACCAAGGGCTGGGCCTCAGGGGGCTGAGGGCTGGGCGACTTCAAAGCCCTCCAGAGGACGCTGGCTCTGAACTGGCCGCTCACAGGCCCAGGTCAGCTGGCAGCAGGAAGGTTTGTGTTTCTTTTAATATCAACTCCCAGGCGTTTAACATTCCTCGAAGCTTAAACACAGAAACATTTTTCTTACCAGACTGCGCTCTCGGCTTTGCCAAACATAACCTGGCTTCTTCCCCTTCCCCCACAACCTCCATCTGCTCCTGTCTCCAAGATGTAATGATTTATGGTGTGTTTCCCCTGGGGCCCATGCAGCTGACAGCAGTGAGAAGGAGGGAAGCAACAGGACTGCGAGTCCAGGTGGGGACGATGCCATCGAGCCCTGGAATCCGGGTTTGCGGAGCCCTGGAGGTCAGCGTCCATGGTGCTCCCTGAGCTGGCTGCTCAGAACACCGTTTTAACCCTTCCATTCCATAGCCACTAATGGCCCAGAGTGTGTGGGCACCTGTCATGCTTTTTGGCTGGGCACCTCCTGGGGCCAGATGGGCAGCCCAGGGACGTGGACATGGGGCTCCCAGTCCTTATTCTGCAGGAAGTCGCTTCCCGGGACTAAATCTAGAGCTCGCTCCCATCAGCTCCTCTTCCCTAAATAATGAAGGACTGGCTGCTGGTTGCCTGGCAGCACCATCTCCCTGGCGACGGTGCTGAAGAGTGAGGTGCAGGCCCCCAGCATTCAGAAGGGATATGTTCAGGAACATGGGGTGTCATGAGTCGGATGGCTGGGCCCCCACCGAATAGCGTCATCTTCCTCGTTCAAACACAGGCGCCTGAGACAGGGTCGGGGAGCACATAAGTCCCCAAGGACACTGCCACTGAGGACACCCAGCCAAGAGTCAGACACCAAACTCTGCGGCCTCAACAGCGCACCAGAGAACAAACGCTTCCTGGGAAAAAGCATCATTCAGCTTCAGCTCCCCGCACCCATGTGATACCTGGTACAGCTGCTAAGAAGCCCAGAGCACCCAATGCCCACAGCTCAATCCCAGGGTGTGTCAGTTACTGATTCCCTTGAGTGCAGGGTCAAAGAACCCACACCCAAGCCAGGCCACTTGTGTGATAAGCACAAGGCCACACAAGGTGCCAGATGGAACGTGGATGGCTCCGCACCAAATGTCACGCCTCCAAGCCTACATCCCCTTGACAGGTTAAGTGAACAGCAACCATCTTTAACACTGGCAGAATTTCCAAAAACACAGGCTGCAAACAAAGCCCCTTTCCCTACATACATTTATAACATAAAGAAACACAGCTGGGGCGGCGCATACACACCTTATGTGGACTCAGGACCTGCCCCTGCTTGGACCACAAGACCCACCCTAAGCCAACAAACTCCTGGCACAGGCGAGTCAAGCCCAGCAAACCTCGCAGTGGAGTCAGAGGCCAGCCCCTAGCAGCCCAGCTACATCCTCAGCCCTTCCAGTAAAGCGGCACATGCTTGGGGTCTCACTCCTTCCATGGCAGACAGTGCTAATCCAACACAGCATTCACGATACAACCTCAGAATCCTTCTTAACACAGTATTTCTGGAAAAAAGCCATCAGAAGGCTACAGACGGGATGTGTAAACAAAGACACTGTCATCCTTCCAGGCTACCCTGCAGGAGTGTGGATGACCTAAGTGCACCAGATGTGGAAGCCCAAGGAACCAGACACACACGGGCCTCTGGGGCTAGAATAGGACACCATCTCCAGCAGGGGGAGAGGAATGACCTCGGGGAACTTTGCTCAAGATAGCTGTGAACCCAAGTCACAAAGGCCAATCCCCTCGACCGAGAAGGTAGAGGAGAAGGACACCTTCCCGACTGGCGCCGCCTCCCAGGCACGCTCGCTTTGGTGCCCTGGCTGCGCCTGCCTCTCACCTGGATCTGCCCTTTGCCCATGATCTTATCCACAATCTCGTTGTTGTCCTTATTGACCTTGGTCTTGTCGTAGCACTTCTCGTAGCACAGGATCCTCAGGGACTGAGAGCCCTCCAGCTCAATCTCGAACTCCTGGGGAAAGACGAGACGGGATGCTGAAACGCCAGCAGCTGACCTGGGTTCCCGGCAGGAGTGGGCCCCATCTTTACAAGGGTGAGAGGGGTGAGGCGGGCCCGTGAGGACCACGTCATGAGGTCTGGAGCAGCTTCCCCATTCTCTGGAGCTCCGGAGGCCTGGGAATCACTGAGGAAGGGAAGTATAGAACCTGAACTGTACGCACCTTATCTCATCTGATCTCAGAAGCTAAGCAGGGTCGGGCCTGATTAGTACTTGGATGGGAGACCCCAAACTATAACACTGTGTCTAGACAAACCCACGATCAGAAGCCAGATGAGCAGGGAGGGGAGGGCAGAGGGGTCAGAGGGACGGGGCTGGCCCATCAGCAGGCTTGGCCATCCCCAGACAATAGGACAAGAGCACTGGGAGCAGGGTGGGCATGGTGGGGGATGAGCCCAGGGTCCCTGCGGGAACCACTCACCTCATCCCACTTGGGCTCCGTTGTGTCCCGGAACACCCTGGTTTTGGCTTTGCTGACAAAGTAGCCAAAGGAATCCACCTCCAGGGTACAGTAAAGGTCTGTGGGGACAGGCAGAGACACGGAGTGAGGCCCGGGGCTCGGGAACCCAGGAGGGACGGGGGATCACGCATCAGTCTCCCCAGAGTGCCCATGCGCGCTCTGCAAATCCACACATGCCCGCCCAGCCTCAGGCCCCGCATCCTGCCCCTCCGGGGCGCTGCCTAGGCTGTTTCCCAGGGTAATGGTGTGTGCTGGGGGGTGACTGTGGGGAACCACAGCCAATCATCTACAATGTGGATCAGGGGCAGGGGGTGGAGGTCAGAGGGTGGATGTACATGCCCCTCCCAGGCCCCAGGAGCTACCCAACTGGCTGTTCTCCATCAGGACTCTCCTGCAGAGCTAAGACTGGGGAGAGCTGTCCCTCACTGTGTGTGATGGAGACTGGATGTAACCGGGTATCTGAGCACAGCAGGTATCTGAGCAGGGCGCCGGTGAACAGGCGAATGAAGCCAAAGGCCTATCGGGCCCCCATCAGAGCAGAGAGCACGTCTGGGCACCCGAGAGATGGATGGGCATGAAGTGTCCCTTCACTGGTTCCCCTGTGAGGGAATCCCCCATCAGGGACTAGTTCTGGGATAAAAGGAAGGGCTTTGGAGTTGGCCTGTCTGGGTCAAATCCTAGCTCTGCGCAAACCCCCCCCCCCACCCCCGTGCCTAACTGCTCTCCTTTGGAGATTGGGCAAGACGATGGTGCCTGTAGGCCAGGCCGGACTGTGTGGATGTGATGAGTTTACTAGGACAAGCATCCATGGCTGAAGATTCACAAGGCCTGAGTCAGAATGAACGTCCGAGCGGGTCAGGGGGCTGGCAGAGGGAGGAGGTGAGGACTGGCTGGAGGCGAGGGGAGACTCTGGAGCCGTACCTCACCCCATGTCTGAGCGCCCCAACCCAGTCTGAGAGGTCGGACCCCTGCTCTGGGGGAGTGGGACGCCCTGCCCTAATGGGCCTGCTCCTGAGGCCCATCCCAGCCGACAAGAGGCAGAGAGACAGGAAGGGGGAGACATTTGGTCACCATGGAGACGTGAGGGCCCCCGGCCAGCTCAGGGGGCTGCAGACTTCGTGTGTGCAGCAGCCCCACGAAGCCGACTGACCAGGAGTATTCCCAGGCAATGCCCCATCAGCAGATTCTGTGGGTCTGGGGCATCCAGGAAGCTGGTGCTGTTCCACCAGCACTGCCTGAGTGATGCGTGAGGGGGTCCTGGACACACAGAGAAATGCTGCTCTAGAGGGGAAAGCGAGCGCCTTGGTGTCAGAAGGCATGGATTCAACTCCATCACCTGTGTGCCCTGCTGCGCCGCCCTGGGAAAGTCCCTGGAGCTTTCTGGCCTCAGCTTCTTTGCGTGCCAAGTGGGAATGGCATCAGCGACCTAGAAAGGGTGCCAGGAGGCTCAGAGCAGATAATGCACCCGAAAAGGCTCTGAATGTGCCAACCACTGTCAGCTCACGAGCCATGTTTGTATTTTCTCTAGCACCTAGTAAGGGACCCAGGCGCACAATAGGCGTCTGGAAATAAACTACTTCATTCAGCATTTTGAGCTCCTGTTCATTCAGCGATGAAGGAGACGTGGCTCCTGTCCTCTAAGAACTCAGTGGACGAAGCACATCTTAAGTGACAAAAAAGTATGACAGGTGCTGCCCCAGGGTGATGGGAACACAGAGAAGGGAGGCAGATTTGCTTTGGAAATCCAGGTGTCACAGGGAACGTTAATTGAATGACTGATTGTGAGTCACTGGCATACCCCCTGCCTGGTGCACTGCAGGAAGAAGGCAGAGGGCAGATCTTACCAGTCAGAGGGGAAGAGAAAGGAGTGAGAGGAATCAGGCTTCTGATCCTATATAATATTAAGTCCTTTTCTTTCTCTGTGACTCAGTTTTCTCATCTGGCAAATGGGAAGAAACTATTAGCTGTCTAACTCACAAATTCCTTCAGGGAGAAAAGTTGGATAAAAATGTAACTGTATTTTGTAAAATACTAAGAAATGCACGGACATAGCAGATGGTGATAAAGAAGGAAAAAGAATGTGTGGTAGCAGTGTGCTGGCCCTACACATATAGGTCATATTTAAGCCAGCTCTTAGCTAAGTATTAACAAGCATGATTGCCTTTTTTTGGAGAAAAAAGAGAAGGCTCAGAGAGGTTAAGAGATTTTCCCAAGGTCACACAGCTTGTGATCTGTGGATGTGAGATGGGAGCCCCATATTTTTGATACCTGGGGGTAGGGAAGGGCTTAGGGCAGAGCAGACCTTGGAGACAGAAAGCAGGGATGAACCCCTGCTAGTCAAGAGGAGCTAGCTCCTGGCCTTTGGGGGAATGCCCCACACCTCAAAGCAGCTGGCAGGGCCCCAGCCTGGGCAGACCAAGGCAGAGCAGGTGGGAGGCCCCATACAATGGGTCCACAGGGACTTTCTGTAAAAGGATGAACAATGAAGTCTCTTCCTGGGGCAGGTGGTCTTGGGTACTTACTGGCTGACTGCTTAAACCCCTTGGCAGAATGGACGATGACATGGAGGAAGCCATAGAGTCCTGGAGACTCGTCGTCTGCAAGAGAGAAAAGCCCCCCAGGGAAGAGGGTGATGAGAGGCCTGCTTCCTCCCCCGACTCACCCCTGGCTGGTTGGTTACACAAAGGAAGGGAGCCAGTCTGCACCTTGGTCCGACAGCACCACCTGGTGGCCAGAGGAAGAAGCGTCCACAGTCCATTGCTGCCTGGAGTGCGAGCTGATGCACTCCCTCCACTCAGCCTGGGCTGGCCGCACCTTCCTCCTGGGACTAAGTCCCAACCGCCGGGGGCACTTTCCCTCCTATGAATCCTGCCTATCCCACTGCTGCCCTCCTCAGTCTAGCCTTCCAAAGTGGAAATTAACCAACATAAGTCACTCTGTGCCAAAGAACAGGTCCAGCCTTATTTCTCACACACTACTCTAATCCACCTAACCTTGTGCTCCCCCACCACCCTGCCCCAGGCTTAAGCTTTCTGCTTCCGTAAACATATTAACATCACAGTCCCAGTGCACCAGGACACCAGATTCTTCTCTTCAGCCAGAGGTTGCCAGGGAGGAGTTGGGCGCCATCCAGGGACTCAGCAGAGAAAAACTTCTGTTCAAACTCTTCTGTATCTGGCAACTGAGTCTTCCCAGCCCAGTGGAGCAGAGGTCAGCCCCTGGTAGCCAAGTGACTGGCTAGGTGTTTGTGGAAGGTCCCGGCAACACCCCGGGGGCTTGGACCCGCTGATTGAGCAACCTTGGATTCCAGATCTTACCGTCTTTATTGCTGGTGACAGGAATGTTGTGTACAGTCCTAAGTTTGAAACAGGATCCTGTGAGCACCTGGAGTTCCACTGAGCTCAGGACAAAGGCCTGAAGATCTGCAGGAGGAGACGAGAGAGAGCGGAATGTCGTCATAGGTCCACTAGGACCCACGGCTCTTCTTTGAGGGCTACTGCAGGAAAAAAAGCTTAGCTCTAAGGGCAGAGTTGGTCATTGGAAGGGGGAGTAGACACTCAGCTGGGGAGAGTCAGGGGTGCTGCCAGAGGGATAAGAAGCGCAGGGTCCAACTGGAGAGGTTCGTGAATTATGTACATGACAGCAAGAGCAAGAGACAGAGGAGCAACTGTGGGCTCTGGGTCCAGTCCTACTGACAATTCACTACACATTCTTAAGCAAATCACCTGAATTCTTTGGGTCTCAATTGATCAGTAGCATCGGTTAAGAACCATCTGCCCTGGCATTTTACAGAGTAACTAGGAGGGCTAAAGAGGAGCCAGTGGACATCAAAGTGTTTGCAAATGCAAAAGGCCCTCTCTTGCCATGGACACCAGCAGGGCAGCGTAGAGTAGGGGTGGGGCATTACCTTTCTTCTGCAGTTTCTGAATTGCTTCTCTCCACTCTGACCTCTCATAGTCTGAGGACAGTAGGAACAGGTAGCTCTGAAGAGAGGAGATGAGAATTCACTAGAGTGACCACAGTCAGGCCCAGGACATTTTTGGATTCTGGGGCCCCCAATAAAGTTCCTTTGTACCCAGGCACCCCTAGGCTTGGAGCAGAAGGCAGCTGGGAGGAAGGCCTTCCTCCTAGGAAGCCTGGTGATGGGAGTGGCAGTGCCAGTGATGACCAGCAGAGGGCACTGGCTCTGCACGAGTGGGGAGAGAGGCAGTCCAGGGCAGGAGCCATGGCAGCCTTGTTGGGAATGAGGGGTGGGGGGACCTGAAGCCCTGATTTCCGCAGGTCCGGTTCAGGGTCAGGAGCCATAGAGAGTGGGCAGCCCTGGAGGAAGGGGGCTGTGTGTCCTCTCCCCATCCTTCCTGACCTTTCCATTCCGATTGTGGATCCGAAATGGGATTGTGGGGGAATTGAGCAGCAGCAAGAATTCGTTCTCAAACATCTTCTTCTTCAGGCGTTCGATGGCCCGGCTCTGCCCCTTGTTGGCTTTCTGCAGGGGACAGAGGGCACAGGGGGCTCTCCTTGCACTCGGACTCCACTTGTCACCCCATAGTTCTTCCCCCCCCGCCCATTTATTTTTATTTGTTGGAGGCTAATTACTTTACAATATTGTAGTGGATTTTGCCATACACTGACATGAATCAGCCATGGATTTACATGTGTTCCCCATCCCGATCCCCCCTCCCGCCTCCCTCACACCCAGTAGTTCTACATACAGCATTCCTCTGTATAGTCATCATTTTTTTTTTCTTGGGAGGGCCAGTCAGCCACAGAAAATAAAACTGCTCCTTGCAGGACATGCTAATTCCTAGGCTAGTAAATGACTTCCCTGTGAATGCATCTTTCATGTGCAAACCAGTTAGTCTGGAGTCCACACCTCTGGCCCTCTCCTTTAACTAACTTTCACACACAAGCGAGTATTTCTTCTGCCCTAAGTAACCCAGGGCAACTAGATACCACCACTCTAGCCCAGAGCCTGCTGACTTATTCAGATTTGCCAGTCCTAAGCTGTTTCTTGTGGGAAACACAATCGAGGCTCTGGGCCATGCACTTCCCAAGCTCCTTCTGCCTTTCTTTTCTTTTTTTTTTTTTTTTTTTGCCTACGCAGCATGGCATGTGGGATTTTAGTTCCCAGACCAGGGATGGAACCTGCACCCCTGCATTGGAAGCATGGAGTTTTAACCACTGGACCCCCAGGGAAGTCCCTCCTTCTGCCCCTTGACCGAACCTGGTGTTTTCCCACATAGCCCTGTGTGGCGTGGCCTGCCCCCTACTCTTGGAAACTGTAAGTAATAAAATAAATCTAAGGAATAAAAATCTTCCAGTGGCATCAACATCTCTGGGCTATTACTCAGTCATCTCCATAAATTAAATTCTGGGTACCACCGAGCCGCCCTGCTTAAAAGCAGCAGACACCTTTCAGCATAAAGCCCTCAATACATCTGGCCCCAGGGGACCTCCCCAGGGCTGGGTTCTAGCTTCCATGCCCGCCACATGTGCCCTGCATCTTCCACCCCGGGCTCACACTATTATTCCCTGCTCTCTAACAAGCTGCTCCCCATCTCAGCTGTCTCCAGTTTTTCCAGGTTGTATCGTATAAAGGCTCCCTTCCCTTTTATGCACCACTGTTATGCTTCACATCTCAGTTCCAATGCCATCCTCAAGCTCCTACAGCGAGGATTCATCTCTGCTTTTTTTTTACCCACTAGACTGGCAGAATTGTGACAATTGCTCACAGCCGGTGCTGTGACACTGTGGGGGAACAGAGATGATGACACACTGCTGGAGGGAACATGATCGGATGCAAACTTTTCAGACGTAAACCCGGCGATGAAATGCGCAAGCCCTCTGCCCCAGACATCCCACTTGCAGGGGATCTACCGGAAAGAAACAGAAGGGCAGAGGAAAGAATGAGAAACCATCTAAAGACCCAAATATGTTGTGCCATCGAGTGACAACAGGATGCAGTTGTGAAAGGGGACCTGACAGATGAAACTGCAAAACGGCACATGTAGTCTAATCTCATTAAAAAATACAGACACACACGTGTAAACACAGGAGAGTCTAGAAGAATATACCTCAAACTGGGATAATGGGGGGAAGGTAAGAAGTTCTATTCTACACACTTTGGTATTGTATTTCTTGTTGTAAGAAGTCAGTGTGACACTGGGGATTAGGGAAAAAATTAGGCTTAAAAATATTATTAAAAGAATAAATTGCTGCTGCTCCTGTGACTCAGAAAACAACACCGTGCATCTCCAGTGACTCTCATCATGCTGTGCCACATGTTGCAGTCACACAGAAGAATGTGTGCCTTCTCCACTGGATAAGGAGGTCTGTGAGCATCTGGCACAGCCCTGCAGCCAGCAGAAGTCAGTAAGCACGGATCCGATGAAGCAGAAGGCCACGCCTGCACACCTGGGGCAGGACAGAGGCCCAGAGCCTGCAGCTCCCAGGGCCGGGTGAGAGACGCGCATGCGGGATGCCCCTGATGTGCAGATGCTGACAGACCCAAACAGGGAAGCAGGCTCCCCTGAGGCAGGATGGGCTGGCTGTTTAGGAGGAGGACACCTGTGCTGGTCAGGGGGCTCCCTCTGGGCAGGTGTACCCCAGTCCTAGGATACTGTGTGAAAGTGAAAGCTGCTCAGTCGTGTCTGACTCTTTGAGACCCTATAGACTATACTGTCCATGGAATTCTCCAGGCCAGGATACTGGAGCAGGTAGCCTTTCCCTTCTCCAGGGAATCTTCCCAACCCAGGGATCGAACCCAGGTCTCCCGCATTGCAGACGGATTCTTTACCAGCTAAGCCACAAGGGTAGGACACTCCCATGACCCAAACATCCCTGGGTTATTACTGTGGTTTTCTTCTCCTCTGTTCAGAGAAAGATATCTGGGTTGAAAGAATCCTTAGAAGCCATCTGGTCATGTGTCTTTCAACTGTTCATAAAGCATCTATTTATTACATGTTAAGTAGTAGGACATGGGGGCTTCCCAGGTGGCACAGTGATAAAGCATGTGCCTGCCAATGCAGGAGATGCAGGAGACATCGGTTCGATTCCTGGGTCTGGAAGATCCCCTGGAGTAGGAAATGGCAACCCACTCCAGTCTTTTTGCCTGGAGAGTCCCATGGACAAAGGAGCCTGGCAGGCTAGCAACTGAGCATTAAGACACAGAACTGAAGAAAGCAGTCCCCTCCCTGGAGCTGAAATTCTAGTGGGGAAGAGAGAAAGCAGAGTGTGCAATAATAACTCAGCACAAATAAAGCCAATCAAAGAGGTAAACATCCTGAACCAGGAAGCCAGGCACCCAGCCGAGACACCCAACAGTGGAGAGACAATGGGGAAGGCTCATCTGGGGAGGTCAGGCCCAAGCTAGGCCTGGATGGGTGAAGAGGAGAGATCCGGCCAACTAACCAAGCCCCTCCATGCTCCTCTTCCCCTTCCTGGGGAAGCCTCCTTCTGGGGTGTTTTCCTCTAGCCACGGTTGTCAAATATAATGAATTTAAGGCTATACATTTTCCTCTAACGAGTGCTTTGGCTGTATCCCCTGGGTTTTAATATGGAGTGCTCTCATTTTCATGCAGGTCTAATTTGCAGTTTCCCTTTTGATTTCCTCTTTACCCGAAAAGTTTTAACTTCCCAGGTATATATTTAACTATATTCTAGTTGTTGATTTCTAATTTACTGCACTGTAGTTTGTGAACATGACCAGTACACCTTTTTTTTTTTTCCTAAACTTGAGATTTCTTATTCCAAAGAACTGACACTTCTGAATTGTGGTGCCAGAGAAGACTCATGAGAGTCCCTTGGACTGCAAGGAGACTAAACCAGTCAATCTGAAAGGAAATCAACCCTGAATATTCATTGGAAGGACTGATGCTGAAGCTCCAATACTCTGGCCATGTGATGAAAGAGCCAGCTCATTGGGAAAGACCCTGGTGCTGAGAAAAACTGAGGGCAGGAGAAGGGGGCAACAGAGGATGAGATGGTAGGATGGCATCACTGATTCAATGGACATGAATTTGAGCAAACTCAGGGAGACGGTGAAGGGCAGGGAAGTCAGGTGTGCTGCAGCCCATGGGATCACAAAGAGTTGGACATGAACTTAGCAACTGAACAACAACAAAATGCAGCCTAATACATGATAAATTATCTGTAAATGTTCCATGTGTGTTTGACAGAATCTCAGTTCTCTATCAGGATACAAGTCTCTGTGCATTTTTAGACCAAGTGATCTTCAAGGCCGCCTCTGTTTACTTATTTGCCTACTCGACCTGTCAATTTCTGAGGAGACTCCCAGGCCCTTCCCTTCTCATTCATCCTGCTTTTCCTTAAGGACTTTTTCTCCTCTTGCTTTTGCAGTGTCTGGCATACACTGTTCCCCAGGAAACTTCCCATAATTAACCCCACTAAATTCTGAGCACTGACTCCTTGGCCCGCCGCCCTCTATCTGCCCAGTGCTCATCATCATGGTCAGACATGTAATCCTGAAGATTGTAAAGAAAGGCCTTCCTCTCTTACATCCTGCCTCCCTTGTCAGACTCCCAAATTTTATCACTTCTCCTTTCTCCATTTCCCTGGCACACCCAATTCAAAGGTCCACAATGAAAAGAGCCAACTTCTCAGCCCCAGGTGATGCCAGGCTCTGCTCACCTCCTTCTGGATTTCACTCTTAAGGGCAGAGATCTTCATTTTCATGTCCTCCAGCTCATGGTCGGGGAAGGGGTGCACCTGGGGACTGGCTTCAGACTCCTCAGGGGATGGAAACACTAGGTCAGCCAGGGGGATGTACCATTTGCAGTCATATTGCTGGTGCTTCCTGCAAACAGGTCAGAGAGAGATGTGAGCCACAGAGGAACTGCATCTTCAGGCCTGGAACCAAAAACCACCTGAGAGGGATTTACTGAGAACTCGTCACAGGCAAGAATGATCCCTGCCCTGAGGAGCCTGATCAGGAAACGATCATGGAATAACGATAGTTAGGCTCTAAGGTCAGGCAGCGGTAAGGGCTCTGGATCTCGCTCCTGCCATTCTTCTGGCCCAGAACAACTAACATTCTTAAGCAGCCCAAACCTCTAGTGTCTGAGCAAGAGTGGTCTCTCCTATTCCCCATCCAACTCTTCTTTCCCTTCCAGCCTGTCTAAACATAACTTACATTCTTTATCTTCTTAGCTAGAGATACAATACAGATGCAATTTTGAATGCCACCTCTTCTCAACAGAAGTCACATGGGGTAATGAGTTGAGGGATAATGAGTTGAGGATTATAAAGTCACATCCAAGTCCAACAAGAAATAGTGCTGTGGTCCACTAGTAATGTCTGCTGTGGGCAAAGGACTTAAGGCAGAGGAGTGTATGCTTACGACCGTCACCTCTGCTTTAGAATCATCTCAAACATCATCCCCTCTACTGAAACTCTCCTTCTCTCACTTTCCCCAGGACTTCGTTTTGTACCTCCCTGAAACATTAAGCCTGTGGCTTGCCTCCCTCAGCACACCGTAGGTGGTAAGAAAATAAAGGTGGAAGATCGTAGGAATACATATTGAAGAATCTTTTCTGCTTGTAACAGAGACACTCTAGTCACTGGGTACAGAGATGGAGCTCAAAAGAAGCTTTCAAGTCCGATTAAGGTTCAAATCCTGCCTCCTCTACTTTAGTTGTATGACCTTGGGCAACTTATTTCACTTTTCTAAGCCTTTTCTCTCATCTGTGAGATGGGGATAATAATACCTACTTTGTAAAGCCACTGGGGAGATTAGAAATAATATATTCAAAGCATTTGTCATGGCACCTGGCATGGCATAAGCACTCAATAAATGGTAGCATCAGATTTAATGAATATTCACTGAATTGCAGTTAGCAAAAATTTAGAGATGTCTAATAAAAGGAGAATGCTTAAGTAAATTATGGCATATCCACTTGTAACATCATGCAGGAAAGTAAAATGATGATTATGAAGATTAGGCAGCAACAGGGAAAATGCTTATGACGTGAAATGGAAAAAGCAGAGCCCCAAATTGGGTATTCACTCTGATTACAAGTATATGAAAAAACATAAGAACATTTAAAAAAAAACTGGAAGGAAATATAGCCGCAGGAGACTGATGCTTATGTTCGGGTGGGTGACAGGGTTTATTTCCCACCCACTGTAATTTGGTTGTATTATATTTATAATTAAAACCATGATTTATTTTTAGAAAAAGGCTATGAAGTAACATAAATTAATTAATGTTTTTAAAAAGGGGGAAAGAAATGCAGATGGCCCCGGGCTGCTGACGGCCTCCACCGGGGGGCGGGGTCTAGTTCTCCCCGCCCACCAACCCTCCTGCTCACTCACCCCGCTGATGTCTTCTTTAGCTTGGCGCACAGGAGGACGTCGGTGAAGAGGAAGACGTGCCGCAGCTTCCGGGAGCTCTCCGACACTTCCACCAGGAAGCCGTCCTTCACCAGTTGCCGCGTCTGAAAGAGATGGCACACCCACCCCCGCCTGCTCAGGGGGAGTCAGCCCAGGGCCCAGCCCGCACCCATCCAGTGTGGGGGTAGGGGTGGGGCTCCAGGGAGGGACCGTAGTGCCGGTGGTTAGCAGCACTGGCTTTGGGGTCAGGCACACGGGCTTGGGGATTCCCAGGTAGCGCAGTGGTAAACAATCCACCTGCCAATGCAGGAGACGCAAGAGATGCAGGTTTGATCCCTGGGTCAGGAAGATCCCCTGGAGTGGGAAATGGCAACCAGCTCTAGTATTCTTGCCTGGAAAATTCCATGGACAGAGGAGCCTGGTGGGCCCATAGGGTTGCAAAGAGTCGGACATGACTGAGCTCATACCTAACACCTAATCTAACACGGGCTTGAATCCAGACTCTGCCCCTTCCTGGCTGAGATCTTGGGGGTAAGTCCCCTGACTTCTCTGAGCCTCAGTCTTAGCATCTATAAAATGGGGATAATGACATTGGCCCCCATAGCATAGACATCATGGTATATATACAACAGTCAATATAGTGCCTGGCATGTAATATATGATCCACAAGTGGTAGCTTTCCATTTCTCTGCAGCCCTCAACAGCTCACCCCTGGATGGACCCACCCTGAGTCATAAATACCCCCCACCTCCACCCTAGAAATGCCTCCCTAACTCTGCCTAAGATGTTGACCTTGTTTCAGCTGAACTTCGATCTGCAGAACCACTCAGGCCCGTTTACACAGCCTCTGAGTGGGTTCTGCAACCCGCCTCAGGCGGATGGATGGGGGACCCTGGGCTTCCCTCTGTGGGGCTGTCGCAGTGTCTTTGGGATCCTACAGCTGTCTCTACCCTGGGCTCTGGCTGGTTTGGAGCATTTCGCTCCACATATAAATTCCAGAGCCTCCTCCCCGCCATCCTGGGCCAGCGGGCCTCTGCGGGGCTGTCACGGTCTGTCTCAGGCTTCTCTGTGTGACCTATATATGCTGCGTATGTAGGTGAGCACGTAGAAAGCACACTATTAAAACGATCCCAAACTGGTTGTGCTCGAGGGCCTCTGGAGATCTCTCAGACATCCCCAGTCAAACCAACTGGTGACATTACAGGGTCTGCAAACTGGGGCTGGGAGCTGCACACAGGGACAGTGCTCTGGTCCCATTAGCCAATCCCCAGAACCTGTCCCTCGTTACTTCCCTCCCCAGGAGACACTGGAACCTCATAAACACTACAGAGGAGCAGAAAGGCAGCCAGCCTTCACTCCTGAACACCACTTAATTACCTCTTCTGGACAGGAAGCTCCATGTGTGGGTCAGGCTGCTGACCCATGTGGCTAACTGTCCCTCTGATTCTTCAAATTGCTTCCCGTCACTGATGCACCCCCCACTCCTCCAGCAAAAAGGGCCCCCAGGGAACTGGAGCTGCTAGCCACATACAGGAGCCCACCTGGGACAGTTCAGTCACCTGGCAGCTTCAGCCTCTTCTCCCTGACTCTCCAAGCTCCCTCAGCCTGAGCCATTATCTTCCAGGGGACCCTGAGGACATCATGCTGTCCAGAGGAGGTGGCTGCATTCAAGAATGAGACAGGAGGAGCCCTGGTGCGGGGGTCAGTGCCTGAGGCTTGCTGACAGAACACCCCAGCTATAGCTGCGGTCCCTAATCTTTTCGGCACCAGGGATTGATTTCATGGAAGACAATTTTTCCACAAACTGAGGTTGAGCGGGATGGTTTCGGGATGATTCAGGCACATTACATTTACTGTGCACTTTATTTCTAGTCTAATGCTGCTGCTGATCTGATAGGACGTACCCAGTCCGCAGCCCAGAGGTCAGGGACCCCGAGCTAAAGGATCCAGTTCCGACACTGATAGCCAAGAGACCTGTGCAGGAGACCTAGAGAGACTCTCCAGGCCCGTTTCCTCATCTGCCTCAGTAGACTATTATGAAGATTAATGAGATGCTGGACCTTAAGCTGTTGGCTCAGGACCCGAAGGCCTATCCTTGGCTGGGACTGGGGGATCAGGGTTGGAGAGGCACCGGGCATTGGGCGGTGGTGCCCGTGTGTGCAAGAGAGCAGGAATGGTGCCGGGCACCCTCCTTACACTGGGGGCCGAGCCCCACTGGGTCCTGAGCTCACCTCCCCCTTGGGGGTTGTGACTGCAGTCCGGCGGGGGTCAATGTCCTCATTGATGCTGGACAGGAAGTTCTGGGAGATGCGGAGGGCATCCTGTAGCAGCGGGTAGTCTGGGTGGTCCACAGGTGTGTGCTTCAGCAGGTCCTGGAAAGGATGGGGTGGTGAGATGGGGGGAGCGGGGCTGGGGCTTAGTGAGAAGACAGTGGGGAGAACTCAATCCTCACTGAAGGAATTCCAAGGGGGGCAACTAGGGACCCTTACTCTAACTTGGTCATGCCTGTAAACTGAACTAAGAATTAGGGTCAGAGCAGCGGGGCAGTGGTGCTCCTTTATTACCGCTGCAGTCATGATTCTTCTCCCTGGTGGTGCAGACCAGGTGGAGTCTCCTCTCACCAAGCAGCTGGGAGAGACACCCCCCACTTACCCTACAGCTGCTCCAAGGACACTGGAGACCAGGCAAGGAATGAGGAGGCAGGAAGTGCCTGCCTCCCAGGGAGCATTTGGCCAAAAGTCAAGCCTAGTGGCCAAGCTATTTTTAGGCCCTGGGCCCATCAGCATGGTCACCACAGGCCAGGCAGGTGCAGTCAGGGCCCAGGGACCCTCTGCCCAGCTCCCTGCATGGGCTGTTGTCATGACTCCAGCGCTGCTGCACCCTGGGCTCAATCTCCCACCCACCCCTGAGTCCTCCCTGGCCACTCGGCGGGGAGACACTCACGTGTAGGACCAGGGTGCTCCTGGTGACTCGGTCAATGGGCTTGTAGAGCAGAGCTGTGGGGGAAGCAGGAACAGGCCCAGGTCAGATGAAAGACAGGGAGCAGTTTGAGACCCGAGGGGCCAGCCTGTGCCCCGAGCCGCCTCCCTCCCCTGCATGGACGTCCACTCACAGGAGGCCAAAGTGGATTCCACAGCAACCACGCCTACATTCTCACCCGAGGCAGGCCAGACAACACCAAAAGACGGACACATGGCTCTGGTGACCCCAGCCCCCTCCCACCCACCTCATCTTGTCTCCCACTAGACATGATTTCTTGAAGGGCTATTTGTCCCCCAGGCCTGTCCCAGCCTGACCAGGCTCATAGTAGACACAGATGCTCCTCTGGACCCTCTGCTGAAATCACACAGCTTTACCCTAACAGCTCCGGGACAGTGGAGGTCACACCCAGGACCCCAGACTGCAGGAAGGAGACACTGTTTTCCCAGGGAGGGAGGTGTCCCCATACCCCATCATTCTCACATCCCTCTGGTCCAAGGCCTGGCCCCACCAGCTGGGAACATCATGCTTCGTTCTGACCCACACAGTTGACCTCATCTCCACGAGGAAGACCCCTGATCATGCCCTCAATGCCCTCTTGGCTGAGGACCAGGGAGGCATGCCTGATGGCCACAGAAAGGCTCTGTTCTCAAGTGGCAGCTGATGGGGTAAAGATTTCTGAAAGGCATTCAGGTGGGGCTTCAAGCCAGAGAGCCCCTGAAGAGGCTGGGAAATTGCAAGCTCAGCAGGACCCCCGACACACACACCACAGGCCACACACTTTGGCGACCAGGACACCAAATGAGGATCGCCAGGATTCAAGGGAACAGGTGAAGGAGGCAGCTGGCTGACCAACACTTCCGAACAAAGCTCCTGAGGGCAGCTGCGTCCTGCCCCTCCCAGCCTGGGTGGATCAGCTCCGGTCCTGCACCTGGACACCTTTGCCCACGGGGTCATGACCTCTGTCCCCCTGCTGTAGGAGCAGTAAGAGGCAGGATGCTGGTCTGGGGAGGAGGACCAGAGTGAGTGTCCCATGGGATCAGGCTGTGACAGGTACCAGGGCTGACACTCATGTCCCAGCCAGCCCCCAAACCAAAGAGCTCCCCAAGGCCCTGGATATTAATACCCTGCGCATTGCTAAATGGTCACTTTGGGAAACAATCTGCTGGCTACGGAGAAGATGCAGTCTCAGCGGTGTGCCCTGAGCCTCATCTGCTGGCTTTGCTTGGCTGCCCGTTAGAATCAGTGGGGAACTCTCAAAAGATTCAGATGCCTCTTTCTCTCTCTCCCATCAGCTAAACAGCAGGCTCTGCTGGGCAGAACCCAGGCATCAGCATTTTTACAAAGCTCCTTTGTGGATTCTGAGATGTCATAAGGGTTGAAAACCACTGCTTCATTGAAATACACCTCCCATGATTTATTTGCAGCCCTTTCTTAATCTAGCAACTTCTAGAACCCCTCCCCGTCCAAGGGCTATAGGAGCTAGAATGGACAAGATCAGGTTGGCCTCTCCTGGGACAATGAGGTTACAGATCAGTCACCAGCCCAGGAGGGGCAAATTCTGAGGCTATCTGGGGCAGCGGTCCCCAACCTTTTTGGCACCAGGGACCGGTTTGCTGAAGACAATCTTTCCATGGATCAGGAAGAGGGGCATGGTTTCAAGGTGATTCAAGTGCATTGCATTTATTGTGCCCTCTGATTTATTATTATTATTATATCAGCTCCACCTCAGATCATCAGGCATGAGATCCTGGAGGTTGGGGACCCCTGGTCTACGGTACCCACCTGTGGCTCAGCCCATCTGCAGGGCAGGGGGAAATCACTCTCTGAGAATCCCAGAGACCCAGAGAAAATGCAAGTTCAGCAGACACCAGCCAGGGTGGGCCCTCGAGTTCCCGCCTAGAGAAAGTTGATACTGCAGTGTCAGCCCCCTCCATCCCTCTGCTGGATCCCAGGAGGAAGAGGTTTCTGACTAAGCTCAGAGGTCTGCACAAATGGCGTGTTGGGTTTCAGAGGGGTTATTAATATGCCTCGAGTCACCTCAAGAGTCCACTTGATTGTGGTCACGGAATGAGTCCTAATGTATCAGCCCCAGGTTGGGGAGGGGCAGCTGGGAGGAAGGTGGGGAGAAGCCAAGAGCAAGGACAGGGCCCCGGGGCCGCGGTCAGATACGGAGGGAACCAGGGCAGCCGTGATGGGCATGCTCCCCATGCCCCCCGCACCTGCTTCCCCTGAGAATGCAGAGTGCACAGCCCACATACCACCCCATACAACTGCTCCCTGCCTCTGCTTCCCCCACTCTCCCTGCTCCTCAATGTGTGGTTCCCATTTCTGGGGCACACACCATTCACCAAGTTGCAATGCCTGTCTCTCCCCCTCCTCCTAAAAGCTTTCCCCAATCAGGACTTTCACAACCAACATTCACAGTGCCTAAAAGACAAACCATGACCTGTGCAAGGTGGGCCTCTCTCTAGCTTGCTGAGGACTTTACTCCGTGTCCAATGGCACTGTTTTACATGTGCTATTTCCTTTTAATTAAAAAAGGAAGGGACTGTCCTGGTGGTCCAGTGGCTAAGACTCCACGCTCCCAATACATGGGGCCCCGGGGTTCAACCCCTGGTAAGGGAACCAGATCCCACATACCGCAATGAAAGATCCTATGTGCCACAACTAAGACCTGGCACAGCCAAATAAATAAATAAAGGAATAAATATACTATTTTTTTTAAAAAAGGAAAGCAATGATCACTAGTCCTATTTTACATATGCAGAAAATTCTCCAAAGTACAAAGAAGTTTTATGTAACTTGCTCACAATCACAAAGCTGTAAGGGGCAGCTGGGTTTTGAATGTAGGTCTACCAGTACTCCTTAACTTTGAGCCATCCCCCTTCCATGGGGGAGGGCAGCATCAGCAGAAGCTCAGTGGTCCTTGAGAGGGTTCTGGGAAAGATTCATCAAGGAGTGGATGAGCTGGCCTCTCTTGTTGCCAAGGTGAGCCCCCTCCTTAGGGGGCTGAGTCAGAATTCCTTTGCCTCCCACCCCCCCAACCATGTTTGGCATGGAGCCCTGGAGAGTGGACATTCGGTACATAACCACTAAGGCAGACGACTGCAGTGGTGGTGGTTTAGTTGCTAGGTCCCGTCCGACTCTTACGACCCCACGGATTGTAGCCCGCCAGGCTCCTTTGTCCATGGGATTTCTCAGGCACGAGTACTGGAGAGTGGGTTGCCATTTCCTTCTCCAGAGGAGCTTCCTGACCCAGGAATCAAACCCAGGTCTCCTGCATTGCAGGCGGATTCTTTACCTACTGAGCTACGAGGCAAGCTCAGAGTGAGCCCTCAGTCACTCAGCCTCCCTGGGACCTCAGACCAGCACCCTTTGGAGGGGCTGAGACGGTTCAAACAGTGTGGTCAGTGAGGGCCCCTTCGCACCTGACCCCTCACACTTTGAAGCTGACTTCATCTCAGGGACGGAAGAAACCCTGAACTTCGGGTCCCAGGCCTGTTTCACTAAAACTAAGCTTCCTTTTTGGGGAAGAAAGAGGAAGCAAAGGGCCAACCGTTTCCTCTTCAGAAAGGCAGAGTGGAGACTTGACCAACTCCTGGGCCAGACCGAGAAGGGCATTTCCCCTTCGATCTTCAACTAGGCCAGCTTCAAGTCCAAACTGTCAGGATCTGAGCCGAGGGGTGGGGCCCAGGGCAGCCTCTGCCCGCTGACTAGTGCTCCCCCCTGCTGTCCTGCTGGGACAGTCAGAGAGGGGCGACCTCAGAGTCTCTCTCCATCATGAGCAGTCTTCTACACAGGACATCTAAGAAGGGGAGGGGACAGCTGATCGTGCACAGAGGTCGCAGGGAAGAGCCCGGAAAACCTCAGCATCGCTCCTCCGGCAAGCTGCCGCCCCCCTCTGTTCAGCCTTCCACAAGGAGCTCCAGGTTACCACGGAGACATGAAAGCAAAGTGACTGAGAGGAGCTGAGACAAAACGCCTGCCTGGTGGGAGGGAAGACGGTCCTGAAACCAGCCGCCTGCCCCAGGGGCCCAGAGCAGCAGGCCGGGGGCATCACTTGACCCTTATGCCCCTGCCAAAGGCAGCCTGGGTCATCCCGAGGGTACCTCTTGCCCTGGAAGGCGGGGCCTGCTGGCTTCCGGATACCTCTTCGCCTAGGCTGGTGCCAGCCTCCTCTGAGCGAGAACCTGGGAGGCAGCACACACCTGTCTCGGGACCCCTGTCCCGGTGGGGGCTGCAGAGGATGCTCCCTCTGCCCCCCAGCCCCCCATCCATTGTACGGTGGGGGTGTGACCTTCACAAAGCAGCAACCTGCCACGCCCCCTTCTCCCACCAGCACTCACCGCCGACCTTCTGCACTAGGTGACAAGACCTCAGCTCGAGGGTCTCCAGTGGTTAGGAACGAACCCACTGGGGGCAACCCAATTCCTTCCTGCTCCCAACCATATCCACGTTCTCCCGTCGCCTGTTCACAGAGGAGAGAGCCAAGGCAGCGTGTGTGCTCGGAGCACACAATACCCTGGCCACTCACCCTCCTCTCCTCTCGCCCGAAACAAAGAGACTCCCAACTTCTCCCTCCAGCCGGGGCTGGCACCCTCCGGGTCCAAGGCGCTGCCATCTGGACCACCCGGCCCTCTCCGATCGGCCCCTGCCGACCCCTCTCCAGCCCCGGGATGGCCACTCCTGCCAATGCAGCCTTGTCACTTTTTCTCCTTGACAGCCTCTCCAGGAAGTTGCTCCCAGCCTCTCAAGCTGAGCCACGAATTCCCCCACAGATCCTCAGTGGAGCCTGGTCCCTCCTAGCCCGGTCCTCCCATTTCCAAGCCCTCCTGCCTGGAGCGGCCCCCAGAGTTCAACTCCAGGCTGGAAGCTGGCCGGCCGGGGGGGGTTAACACAGGTCCAGCCACTTGTTCCCCATCCCTGCCCTGCTGCCCCTCCCCCTGCTCCAAACCTTGCCGGCCACGATTCGGCCCCCTCCAGCCGGCCCCCAGAGGTGGGAGGACACCCCCACCTCCCGTGAGAGGGGGCCTGGGTTACCATAGGTGCAGTTACAGCAGAAGCGAATGATGAGAAGTATTTCCATGGCAGCCTGCGTCCCCGTGGCGGGAGCGTGCGGCCATCGCTCCGGGCTCCCCGGCTCCCCTCAGCGGCCCGGCCACTCAGCCACCTTCTCGGCTGCCGCTGCACAGCCTCCAGAACCAAGCAGCCGCTTCTGAGTGCGCCTCTAGCCAGGGGGGGGGAGGGGGGGAGGGAGGGAGGGCGGGCGGCGCGCGTGGAGCGGGGAGGAGGCGGGAGCGAGGCGCCTGCTGGCATCCTGAGGAGGAGCACGTTTGTAGCTGGCCAGCTGCCTGGGGACAGAGGCTGGATTCCTCCTCGCGTGCACGCACTCACACACACACTCACACGCGTGCGAGTACGTGTGCACACACCTACAAGCAGGGCACAAAGCCAGACAAAGGAAGATGACTGTTAATCCAACCCCTTCCCCATAGTACCTTCCATAGTGACTGACGTGTGGCTGTCCCTGGAGTCCTTGGGACCTTTCACCTTGAGTTCCTGCCAAACAGAGGAGCGGAATCACTCCACCCGGCCCAGCCCCACCCCTGGCCTCCCCATTCCCCGTGGTGAACACAGCAGGAAGCAGGGCTGAGACCCAGGGGTGCAAACAGGAGCAAAGAGACAAAGACTAACTTCTGCCTCTCTGACTCCAGACCCCCTGGGCCACACCCGTCAGCTCCTGGAGCCTCCTGGGGTCCAGTGGCTGATGCAGACAGAAAGGAGGGGTTCTGGGGACCAGAGAGGACTGTGATCACGGCCGGTGCTCCTCAGGCCTGTCCCCTAGAGCCCCTCCTCAGCGACTAGGAGGGCCTTCAGAGGATGAGCAAGAATGGGACCAGCCTTTCCCCACCCCCAGCAGCAGCCACTGTTGCACAGCTCAGGGCACACAGGGTTTTAGTGGACAAACACCAGCAGAGCAGCTGGTCTTTGGGCATGAGCAGCCCTGGAGAGAAGGAGATGGGGTCCCACACGCCTTTATAGGGGGCAGCAGGGAAGTGGTGCACCTGGGGCTGAGAGGTGCAGAGCAGTCCGACCTCTCCATCACCCATATCGAGAGGGACTCACCCAGCCACCAGCCCCAGCTGCACTCCCCAACTACTGTGCCTGGGCTGGACATCTGAGCCCACAGACTGCCAGGAAGGAAACAGCAACACCCCTTCTGGATGCCACACAAAGTGACAGGGGGTGCTGGCAACAGACACCAGGGATGGCTTATCTGATCCTAACCTCTCTCATCTGCCTTCAGGACAGAGGTTCCAGCTCCGGCCCTTTGCCAGTGGACCAGTGTGACCTGTAACTGGAGTTGTAACGCAATCCCCACCTTGGAAGACTGCGCACATGGCGTGGGGGCTCCCAGGGGACTGTCAGCAGGAAGGCAGGGGTGAGGTGAGGCCAAGGTCAGGTACCAGGTGATGCTGTCTGCTCTGCCTGGGAGGAAGTGCCCAGGCAGCGGGCGCTCTACACTTGCTACTCCTGCCTCAAGCTGTTTCTAGACAGAGAAAACCCCAAGGGATGAGCCTGGGGCATGGGGGTGGGGAAAAGTGAGGTTCCTGGTGTCTAGATTCCCAGCTTTAGGGAATTTTTCTCCATGCCCGCTTCCAGTGCAGCCTAGAGGTACAAAATCACTCTGCTGCAGAGGAGAAGGGCCTGATTACAGTAATGAAGTGGCGGCACAAGTAGGAAGTGACTGCGACTGCGCATGAGTCAGGGTGAGAAGCCACTGGCAGCCGGCCACGGGCCTCGCTCTGCCCTTGTGGGGCTGGCTGGCTTTGAGGGGCGCGTGGCGATGAGCACGGGGGTTTCTGCTTCTGCTGCTGGGGGTGGGGAACAGAGAACAGGCAGTCAGCCCAGGCTAAGAGGAGACCCTCTCCCACTCTCTGGACAGTACATGACCCGGGCACCCAGGCAGCCTTGGCAGGGCCACTGGAACACAGATAGGGACCACCCTTTCTCCAGCCTCACTGTTCCACGTACTGGGACCTTCCTACCCTTCGTTCCACTCCACCCTTCCAGGCAGAGGGTGACTCACCTGACCCCTAGGTTTGGGAGACGAAAACGGAGCTCAGCTCTTCTCTGTCTGCCCCCGTGAAATGTGTTTGAACGTGGAAGGAAGTGTTAGCAAAGCCAGTGTGGCTACAGATCCACATCCATGTTATTCCAATCCAGCTTTGATGGGTAATCAAGCTCACACTTTCATCTCCATCTGCCCAACACGTGTGTTCCCTCTCGACTGATTCCAAACTTGGGTATAACCCTTATCACCCCAGTAGCTTCCCCAAAACTATCCTGTATCTCCCCAACTTTTCTAGCATTGGAGCTGAGAGAGAAAGCAAAGGATCGAGAGAGGCCTATAAAGCAGGACTTCCAAAAGTGCAGAAGGAGCTCCCTCTCCTTGGAACTAGACATTCTCTTACCCTGAGCTTGGAGCTGAGAACTTTGATTGTAAACCCAGTGCCTTAGGGTGGGGGGGTATCCCTGAGATCTTTTTGGCTCAAGGGGTGAGCTGGGCTGTGCTCCTGAAGAATTCTAGGACACTTCCTGGACACAAGTGTTGATGGCAGATGATGCCACATCTTTGCCTTGTAGAGGAGGATGGAGTGGGGGCTGGACTCCCCCCAGGGACAGACAGGCATATTCCCAGCCAGAGGGTCTAGAGCTTCTTCTGCAGATAAGGGGCCCTTGTCCTCTCTCTGTGAGATTTCAAGGATCTTAAAGGATCACCTAGCCCAGACTCCTTCAAGCTTCTCTGATTATAAAAATCACCTGGGCAAGCTTGTTTTAAAGAAAAAAAAATACAGACTCCTGGGCCCCACCCCAAACCTTCTGAATTGAAGCTCTAGGGAAGGTGCCTGAAGATCTGCGTTTCAAACAGTGTGCAGGTGGTTCTTGTCAAGCAGTCTTGGGGTAAGCTGGACCAATCCAGATACCTCATTCTGCAGCAGAGGAACTGAGCCCAAGAGAAGGGAACTGATGTGCTTAACGTTACCCCAGTGTGGGAGAATGCTGCCTTTTTTCTTTTCTAATACAGAATAACCTAAAACAAAATAACAAAATCATATAGAAATCGATATTCTTATATTAAGAAGGAAAAGTCAAGGGCAAAAAAGCAAATGTCAGGCTGTTACCCATCAGGAGAACTATTTTTCTCACAGGCAAGCGGAAGAGGAGAGGCCCTGAGTTGGGAAGGCTCTGACCAGCCCCTCAAAACCCTGAGTTGTAGGGGTGGCAGTGCAGGGATCTGCCCACCTCGGAGATCTTCTGGAACTGGTTGTTGGACTGGCTGCACTTCTCAGCTGTCTCCAGAGCAACTTTATAGTTATCCACAAATGCTTTGTACACACCAAGCTGGCTGGCCTGCAGGGAGAAGAGAGAGGAGGGCAGGAGTGGGATGGGGAGAAAGGATTAATGAATGGATGAAAGCATAACCAGAGAACCTGGAGCTCCCTTAGCACTCAGAACCTCTAACTCAGTCCAAATGGCTAGCTGGGAGCAGAGAGAAAAGGCAGGATGAACATACTACAGTATCCCTTTGAACTTCACAGTTTCCATGGAAACTGGCTCAGCCAATAAGGTTAACAGGGGGGTTTGGGGGGTTGGGGGGAGCAGGGCAGGGCCTTTGTTGGCTTGCTAAAACTCAGCTCATAGCAGCATTTGGCTTTATTTAGCATCATCAAAGTCTTGCACAGTTTGAAGCCCCTTAATGCCTCACACGTCTTTCACATCCTGGAATTAGCTGAAGCAGGGGAAACAGGGAGGGGGGTGGGCACGTGTGGCCTGCTCCGTGCTCCACTCCCCATGCTGAGAGTGGGGAATTGCATTTAAAGGCACATTCCCCACTTCCCTGACCTCCAGGTCCCTGTCCCCACCTCCTCAGCTTTCGAGGAGCCAGAGGTCCTTTTTCTCTACACATCTGCCATGTCACTCTGCACCTAACACAATGCTTTCCCCAGCTTAGGACCACACAGAGCCTCGCCTTCTCGGGGAGGCAGAACAGATGCCATCAGCCCTTACTGCAAAAGGGGAAACCGAGTTTCATTAATTCAATTCTGCAGATGTATTTATGGAGAGCCTTCTCTGTGTTGTGCATGTGTGTTTCCTCTTAGAGGAGCAAAGGGTGGAAATTCAAATTGAACCACAATGAGATACTATTTCATACCCATCAGTCTGGTCAAAATTTAAGTCTCATGATATTAAGAGTCAGAAAGAATGTAGGAAAACAGGAACTTCTAAAGACTGCCTGTGGGTGGTGTAAATTGGTATAATTATTTGGAGAGTAATTTGTCAATAACTAATAAAGTTGAAAATACGTACAGTTCAGCCTACTACTGAGCAAAGCCTCTTCTACATACAGACCCCAGGGCTACGCTGTCCAATACGGGAGCCACTTGCTGCACGTGAATCTGTCAGTCAGTGTTAGTCATTTAGTCATGTCTGACTCTTTGCATCCCCATGGACTGTAGCCCGCCAGGCTCCTCTGTCCATGGAATTTCCCAAGCAAGAATACTGGAGTGGGTAGCCATTCCCTTCTCCAGAGGATCTTCCCAACCCAGGGATTGAACCCGGGTCTCCTGCATTGCAGGAAGATTCTTTACCACCTAAGTCACCAGGGAAGCCCTACACATGGATACTGAGCACCTAAAATGTGTCTAGTCCAAATGGAGGTGGGCTGTGAGTGTAAAACACATTCTGGGTTTCACAGGCTTCGTATGCAAAAGAGAATGTAAATTATCTAATTCCTTAATCTTGACTGCATGTTGAAATGATAATATTTTGACTCTACTAAGCTAAATAGAATATATTCTTCACATTAATTTCACCTGTTTATTTCTACTGAGTGTGGCTGCTGCTAGAAAATTTACATTATATATGTGGCTCACACTATTATTTTTACTAGAAAGCACTGCTCTAGAGAAACTTGCATGTGTGTGTGCACAAGGAAATGTAAACAAGGGTATTTTACTCACTTCATTTTTTCTTTTGTGAAAAGACTGCAAACAAATGCTCACAAAGAAAGGAACCCATACACACTGTGCAGTTAAAAAATGAATGAACTAGATCTCTGTGTAGCAACGATGACAAGTTTCAAAATGAATGCTGACTGAATGGCAAAATATGATACATATATACATATTTCTCTACACTTTAAAAGTAAATGCAATGCTTTAAGAAGATATAGATATGTAGCAAAAACCACAAACTGCAGCCTAAAAGACTACACACCAAATTCATTCAAATTGAGAGGAAGGGCAAGAGGAAAGGGTGGCAGAGAGAGAGAGACTAACTTCATCCTTATTTGTAATGCTTTAGCTTCTTGATTAAAAACTCTTTCCCTATATCTTCAGAGATTTGCTGTAGCTCAAACCGTAAAGAATCTGCCTGCAATGCAGGAGACCCATGTTCCATCCCTGGGTCAGGAAGATCCCCTAGAGGAGGGAATGGCAACCCACTCCCATATTCTTGCCTGGAGAATTCCATGGACAGAGGAGCCTGGTGAGCTACAGTCCATGGTCGCAAAGAGTCGGACACGACTGAGTGACTAACACTACTACTACAAAAGTTTAATGTCTATTAATTCTGGGAGGTGAGTGTATTGTTGTTTGCTACATTATTCTCTAGATTTTCTGGTTAAGTTGTTTTTCAATGAAGTAGCAAGGAGATTCAGCTGCTGGGGCCTTCTACCCACCAAGGTGAGGGGATGGGGGTGGGTAGGGGAGGAAGTGTGCTGCCCCTGAGCCCTGCCCAGACACACTCTGCTTTCTACAGAATACCTGCACTCCTCAAGGACCCAAAGAGGTGGGCCAGGGGACCTGGAGCCCTCCGGGGCAGAGACAGCTCAAGGAAGCTGGCAGGTGGGACCCAGGAAAGCCAGAGAAAAAAGTAAGACCCGAGATGCTTAAGAAGCCAGGGCCAGAGCCGTGCAGGTCTCAGCCCCAGATGGGCCAGACTTCAGAAATGGGCAGGGGCAGGAAGGGATGGAGTTTGTTTCCTCTTCCAGGGAGTGTCCTGGCCCCTAGTGTCCTAGGCTACAGGGGTTGTCCTAGACGGTGGCTTCCTAAACCAGGGATTACTGACATCCTTCCAGGTACATATCTTCCTTGTCCACCTTTCCATGAGAGGGATAAAGGCTGGGTGCTCAGGATGGAATGCTACCTTCCTATCCCACTGCCAAGGGAGTAGCCGGAAACAAGCTGCAAGCAGGAGCCCCCTGGGCAGAAGGTCTGTGTGCAGGGGTCACCAGCCATCCAGGCACCGCCGTCTCCATGGAGCACCCGAGTCTGCCGGGCCCGACGCCTGGCCTGCCTGGGCCGTCCCCGGGAAGTGGGGGTTGCTTTGGAAACAGCAGCTTGGCACGGGGGTGATCTCATAAAACAAATAACAGAGATGCTAATTCCCCGCTCTTGGTAATGGATAATCAAATACCCAGAGACCAGCTGGAAAGAAACTGCCTCCAGATGCCTGGCCTGCCCCGGCCTTCTCCCAAGCCTGTAGCCTCGGGGGCTTCAGACATCAGTTCTTGAGGCAGGGGAAGAGAAGTGGGGGTTGGGGGCCGGAGTAGCAAATTCATGGCCAAGCTAGTAGAGCTCAAACCAGAAGGGGGAACCCTGGTGATGGCAGGGTCCAAGTGACAAAGATAAATCGGGCAGGCATTCCACTGGGCTCCTGGCTCCTCACTCCTCCGCCCCACTGTGGGTGTGCTCTCTTCTGCCCTCCTGAGGGCTAGGAGAGGCTCCCCCTCAAGCCAGACAGCACAGGCTCCTGGACCAGGTGGGCGGTGATGACTGGGTGTTCATCATCCCTGAACTGGGGCCAGTACTCTGGGGCTGCCAGAACCGGAAGTGTGTCCGTGGCAAGAATGCCTTTTGCGGGTGCCTCTTCCTAACAATAGTAATAGCAGCAGTAATAATAGTAATAATAGTGATGATAATGACTAACTATTGAGCATTTCCCCATTTACTCTACTCCAGGTCCTGTGCCAAGAACTTTCCAGGTATTAACTCACTCAGTCCTCACAATCCAACAAGGTAAACACTATTATTATCCTCATTTTTACAGATGAGGAAGCTGAGTCAGGAGAAACTGGGTAAGTTGCCCAGTGTCACACGTTTACATCTAACGTGTGGCAGAGCCTGGATTCCCACTCAGCTTTGACCTGGATCTAAAACTGTGTTTATCTCTGTATGTCCCTCAGGACATGGGCCTCAGGTCCTGTGGCGTCTCCTCAATGCCCTTCCAACTTCTACCCGGTCCCAGGGGCCAAGAACAAGGTGTACTCAATTCACCCATTCATTCATTGGCTCATTTGTTCACTCATTCATTCACTCACTCACGTATTGAGTTCTAGACTGGCTCTGAGAGTCCAAATTGAAGAAAACACAGTCTGTCCTCCTGGAGCATATTCTGGGGAGTCAGGCAGTTTAGTGTTCATGGAGGGTATAAGCACAGTGGCCGCATTCAAAGGGCTGCAGAAGGGCTCTCCATGAGGTCACTTCTAAACTGGAAACTGACCAGAGATGCCAGACAAGACAGAGAAGGACATCTGAGGCTAGAGCCGCAAGTACAGGGAGGTCAAGCGTGTCTGCAGTGTGAGCTGAGAGACCAGGAGTTTCAGGGTTGGGGTGGGGGAGGCAATAGCCAGAGGCCGGGGTGGACTGAGGCCAGCGTGGACTGAGGCCAGCACGCAGAGGGTCTCAGAAACCAGACCGCAGGCTGGTCTTTATTCAGTGGGTAAGGGGGAGCCCCTGAAGGGATGTGAGCAGGGAGGAAGTGAGGTCCAGGCAGGAGTTTAGAAAACATTCTCCTGTTGCTAGGTAGAGGCAGGCCTGGGGCAGAAGCCACTCCTGAGGCCACAGCAGTGGTCCAGATGAGGGCACCAGAGGGTGGAGAGAAGCAGGTGGCTGTGAGCATTAAAGAAGTGGACTCCAAGGGATGCAGGGAGGGGAGGTGCCAAGGATGAGTCCTAAGGAGTCACGGATATCCATCCATGGGATGTGGCCATACCCACTGAGACAGAGGACAGAGACAGGGAAGACAGCAAAGAACCTCAGAGCCAATGAGTTCAGTTTTGAGCATGCTGAGCTTGTGGCCCCAGAGCATCCAAGCAAGAGTCTTCTCTGGGTAAGAAGAGCAGAGGCCTGTCCATTCAACGGGTCCCATCCCTGCAGAGAGGTCCCACCCCTGCTCCCTGCTCCCCACCCCCCACCACTTACACCCAGAGGACAGGACCACGACTCCTGTGCTCCATCCTGCCTGCTGGGCTGGTGAAAGTTATGGGCGGCCCAGGGGTCTGCTTGGGGGTCCTCGGGGGACATGGCCAGAGACAGACACTGAGCTGGAGCAGACAGTGTCATGGAAGCCCCAGGAGCTAGATGACCTTGACCTCAGCCAGCCTTTCCCGACACCAGCGCCACATGATACTTCTACCTCCTCCTTCCTTCTCCCTGCCCTGCCATGGTGGGCGGGCTGGGCTCTTACTGCTTTCTGTCCAGGGTCCTCAGCTGAGGATCGTTAGCCAACACTGTCTCCCTCCACCCCAACTCTTCACTTCAGAGGCAGCATGGAAGTGAGAACATCTGAGGTCTCAGGGGAGAGATGCCTGCCCATCCACCCGGCACTTGCCCTTCCATCAGCGGAGGCCCGCAGGGGAGTCTTCGGTCCAGCCCTGGAGCCCTCTGCCAGGGGCACCCACGCACATGGCCTGTCTCTGGCAGCCTGGGAGTCCAGGCACGAGGCAGGTTCTCCACAAGGCAGAAGTCCATGTTTTTCTCCAGGACTCAGAATGACCCAGGCCTTCAAGAAGGCCAAGGAGGTCTGGGGCCGATCGGTTCTCTCACAACACCAGCGGCTCCACTGAGGCCCCACGTAAGCACCTTCCATCAATGGGAGACTCACCAGCTTTTGGAAGAGGTGGCCCATGGTGACCTGGCTGTCCCATTGTTGCACCTTGGGGCAGAGGTTGTCATAGAACTCCTTGTGGATCTCATAAATGTCCTGGATCTTGTAGAAGATGGTCTCGATCTGCTGGATGGTGAGTACGGGCTGGGAGGTGGTGGCAGTGGCCTTCAGAGGTTTCATGGGCTGGGAGAGAGAAGGGAGAAAGAGCAGAGGTGAGAGGCAAGTAAACCCGAAGGTCAGCAGGCTCAGGACCCAGGTTAGGCCTTTCTGCTGCCTGAGTTCTGCCCAGACAAGGTCACTGAGGGCTGGGCACCCGAAGTTCAGTTTGGATCTAGCAGGTGCTGTCACAGGCCCCAGCAAGCCACGTGTGACTGCAAGCAGAGGGCACCTGATGGCCAGAACCTGGCTCAGCAGCTCTGCCAGGCCCAAGGGGTAGTGCCCAGACACACTTCTCCCACCCCTTGTCCCTTGAGGGGGACCAGGTTCCCAGCCTGTCGTGGGTTTGCTTGAGGGTCAAATAGTATCCAAAGCTTTCTTCCACAATGGCTTCATGCTCAGAGTCATAAATCCCCTGGCTGTGCTTCAGTGGGAAGGAGGGTTGACTGAGAATTCAATCCCTTAGCTGTTTCTTTTCAAGAAACAGAACATGATTCTAGGACTTGGGGGGACAGAGGTTTTAAGGGACCAAACCAATTTCAGCTGCATTGACATCTTAAGTTCCCATAACTCAGTATACAGAGGATGAGCAGGTGGCACCCACACCACTGTCCCACCTCCTGGACCTGTGGCATACATTACTAAGCGATCACAACCATCTTCCTCATTGAGCCTGGTTGAAGCCTCAGACCCATTCTTAATGCCAAGGCTGACATGCAAGACCATCTGTCATCTCTGACTGTCTACACCAAAATGCTCCCAGGCCTGCTGGTGGAGAGGGTGACGTGACAGACAGAAACTCAAGACCATTCCCAACACTTGCCAAGAGCTAAAATCATCATTTTAAAGCCCAGCATTAAAAGAAAATGAGGCTTGGATATATTTTCTTCAGTATGACTTCTGTAGTTTTATTTTTTTTTAGCTGTGCCATGAGGCATGTGGGATCTCAGTTCCCCGATGAGGGATCAAACTCATGCCCCTTGCATTGGCAGCATGGAGTCTTAGTTTTGAAAGCATGGAGTCTTAACCTCTGGACCACCAGGGAAGTCCCTGTATTTTCTAAATTACCTCCAATGAGTAAATATTTATCATGGCAAATAGATGGGGAAACAGTAGCTGACTTTATTTTTCTGGGCTCGAAAATCACTGCAGATGGTGATTGCAGCCATGAAATTAAAAGACACTCCTTGGAAGGAAAGTTATGACCAACCGAGATAGCATATTAAAAAGCAGAGACATTACTTTGCCAACAAAGGTCCATCTAGTCAAGGCTATCGTTTTTCCGATGGTCATGTATGGATGTGAGAGTTGGACTATAAAGAAAGCTGAGCACCAAAGAATTGATGCTTTTGAACTGTGGTGTTGAAGAAGACTCTTCAGAGTCCCTTGGACAACAAGGAGATCCAACCAGTCCATCCTAAAGGAAATCAGTCCTGGGTGTTCATTGGAAGGACTGATGTTGAAGCTGAAACTCCAATACTTTGGCCACCTGATGCGAAGAGCTGACTCACTGGAAAGGACCCTGATGCTGGGAAAGATTGAGGGCAGGAGGAGAAGGGGACGACAGAGGATGAGATGGCTGGATGGCATCACCGACTCGATGTACATGGGTTTGGGTGGGCTCTGGGAGTTGGTGATGGACAGGGAGGCCTGGTGTGCTGCAGTTCATGGGGTTGCAAAGAGTCGGACACGATTGAGCGACTGAACTGAACTGAATCAGGGAAAAATAGGTATTAAAATGCATAGCTGAAACAAACAAAAAGCGATACTGAAGGGTAAGGAGCTCCTCCATGGTTGATCTTTGTTCAGCCCTTAAAGTCCCCAGAGATGCCCAGACTGTCCACCCTGGGGGACAGGGCCTGGAAACCTTTCCCACAGAGAAGGCACAAGGCGGGAGGGTTTGCAGGGGCGGAAGGTTTATCTGGGAGAAGGAAGCCTGAGTCAGACATGGGGGGTGTTCTTTCTCTACCCTGTAGATAAAGGGCTGTGTGGAGAGAGGCTTTTAACTTAATCTGGGTCATTCTGGAGACCCAGGAGCAGAAAGGAGAAGTTGCAGGAGCAACTATGGGCTCACAAAGCCACCCTCCATGATCTCACAGGATTAGGTAGTGAGCTTTCTGATAAGAGAAGCATTCAAGCAGAGGACGGGCAACTCAAGGCTGGATTCAGGGAACACCTCCACTGGAGGGAGGCCCGAGTTATTGCTGGCTCACCCTGAGAGAAGACACCTGCTCCCCAAACCCCAGCTCAAGCCAGCCGCAGCAGCCAGATGCCCAAGCCAGGCTTCCATGTATCTTCCCATCTATCTGTCCACATGAGGAAGTCCTGCCTACTTAAAAACCCAGACAACGCTCTGACTTCTGGTTCCCTGTCCTCCCAGTTCTAAAAAGTCCAGACAGAAGGATGAAGGCAGGAAAAAGCAGACGTCCTCCTTCTGACCCTTCTAGTGCTACAACCAACAAGGCCTTCATGTCCAGCCCTTTGCTGGGAACGCTGGCTGGGGTTTGACTTGGTGCAGGCTAGACAGTGTGGGCCAGAGTCCCAGCTCTGCCACTTGATAGGCTCTGGGCCTCAGCAGCCTTATTTGTGAAACTGGGATAATATTATCAAAGCCATAAGCCATAATTTATATAAAATATTGAGCATATGCCTGGCACACAGGAGGCAATCAATAAATGCTAGCTGCTACTATGATTACTATTCACCCCACAAATAATGGACCAGGTGCCTACGTGAGGCCAGACCGGGGGTGTGTGGAAGGGTATTCAGTGCTTCACTAGTCACTGCCCCCATGAAGCCTCCCATGGAGAAGCAGAGACAGACAAAACACAAGGAAACAATCAAACACAAGACTGCACATAAATTCAGGGAAGGAAATAAGAAGGGGCATCGTGCTGAAGGACAAGGAGGGGATGCTGACTTGAATTGGAGGCACAGGGGCAAACGGGACAGTATTCTAGGCAGATTTCCTCAATGCCTGAGACTGAGGCAGGAATAGCTTGGGAAGAGGGAGGAGCTGGAAGCAGGCTGGTGACCCTGTGTGCAGCGAGCAAGGGGGTTGGCAAGCAGAGCCCTAAAGCAGGGCCGGAGGGGTGAGCAAGGCATGGATCACACGGGGAAGGAATGCAGCTAAAAAGCCCGTGAAATGACCTGGCTTTCCCTGAAGGGATTGACAGGGTCCAATTTTCCCTTTGGAGATTATTTGTATGACTCACAGTCCTTGTTCTGCAGAACGTTATAATCTATTCAGGTAAGGTGGACCAACACAAATGAAACGTTCTTGTGGACAAAGCAAGATACGGTTATTACTCAACTTGGACTGCAAATACCAACCAACTGGTGCCAAGGCTGTCCTGGCCCAGCTTGGAGGGGGCTTCATAGAGGAGGTGATGGGAACAGGGCCTCGGAGAGAAGCTCTGAGCAGGTGGAGAAGTGGGGCCTGGGGAAGCCTGCAGGCAGGAAGGATACAGAGGGAATCTGGGCCATGAAAAAGGAAGAGCATTTTTCCTACCGCAGACAGGCGCCCCATCCAGCTCATGGCCCCAGTGCTCTGTGAAGGATACAGAGCTGGCTCTCGGGATTGGTCAGAGTTTATCCTTAAGATTTTTTTGATGTGGACCATTTTTAAAGTTTTTATTGCATTTGTTAAAACAATACTTCTGTTTTATGTTTTTGGCTTTGTGACCCCATGCATATGGGATCTTAGCTCCCAGATGAGGGACAGAACCCCCACCACCTGAACTGGAAGGTGAAGTCTTAACCACGGGACCCCCAGGGAAGTCCCAGACTTTAAAGTCCCACCACTTTAAGGTGGTGACACCACCCTTAATGGCAGAAAGCAAAGAGGAACTAAGGAGCCTCTGGATGAAGGTGAAAGAGGAGAAAAAAACTCAACATTCAAAATACTAAGATCATGGCATCCAGTCCCATCACTTCATGGCAAATAGATGGGGTAACAATGAAAATAGTGACAGATTTTATTTTGGGGGGCTCCAAAAATCAATGCAGATGGTGACCGAAGCCATGAAATTAAAAGACACTTGCTCCTTGGAAGAAAAGCTATGACAAACCTAGACAGCATATTAAAAAGCTGAGACATTACTTTGCTGACAAAAGTCTGTATAGTCAAAGCTATAGTTTTTCCAGCAGTTATGTATGGATGTTGAGAGCTGAATCATAAAGAAGGCTGAACGTTGAAAAATTGATGCTTCTGAACTGTGGTGTTGGGGAAGACTCTTGAGGGTCCCTTGGACTGAAAGGAGATCAAACCAGTTAATCCTAAAGGAAATCAACCTTGAATATTCATTGGAAGAACTGATGCTGAAGCTCCAATACTTAGGTCACCCGATGCCAAAAGCAGACTCATTAGAAAAAGACTCTGATGCTGGGAAAGATTGAGGGCAGGAGGAGAAGGGGACGACAGAGGATGAGATGGTTGGATGGCATTAGAGACTCAAGGGACGAGTCTGAACAAACTCCGGGAGATGGTGAAGGACAGGGAAGCCTGGTGTGCTGCAGTCCCCATGGAGTCACAAAGAATCAAACAGGACTGAGCGACTGAACAACAACCATAACCCAGGTCCAGGGGTGGGGCCAAGCCACCAGTGTGACAGGTACAGTCCCTGTACCTGCTGGGGTGTAATCCCCACCCAGGGTGGGAATAAAGGAAATAGGAGAGAACAGCCCTGGGAAGGCAGGGGATGGTCAGGATTTCTCAGAAACTGCGGGGGAAGCGCTCAGGGCTATGAAGAGACAAGACACAACCGCTCTGCTTCCTCCTTAACTCCCACTCCGTCTGCAAAAGGGGAAGAGCCGGCGCTGAGGGGAAGAGCCGGCGCTCAGTAGGGCGGGTCACATGGACAGGGCCGGCTCTTGGGGCATCAGGCCGCCAGCTTCTCTGGACATGGTTGGGGGCCTTTGGGGGAGGGGAAGTGCTGCATGCATGCCCCTGGCTGGCCTGAGACCCTTGGAGGCAGTTATTTTTATCTGGTGAAGCTCTGAAAATAGGCCTCGGGCGGGGAGGGCCGACTGAAAGGCACAGGCGGCCCCAGACTGAGCTGGGCTCCAGTCCTGCTCTCCTGACAGAGCACACCCAGTTAGCCCTGCCTCTAGGATCCTGCAACAGAGGATTGATGGGGTGCTGGCTCCCTATCTGATCAGTTAACTCTGGCTCTGGGTGTCCTGGAGAAGGAAATGGCAATCCACTCCAGTATTCTTGCCTGGAAAATTCCACGGACAGAAGAGTGTGGCAGGCCACAGTCCACGGGGTCGCTAAGAGTCAGACACGACTCAGCATGCATGCACAGAAACAAACATAAACCGGGTGTCCCATGAAGGGCTCCTCAGGGAGGTAGGCCAGGCGGGCCTGAACTTGTTCATGACTTCACACTGTCATTTGTTCGCTCTGTCCCCCAGCAAACCTGCCTTCTGCCTTTCGAAACAGGGGAGAGAAATCAGCCCACTTCCTCCACCTCTGATTCCAAAAGGCTTGGAGCCTGCCTCATGCAACTTTGCTATCTGTCACCGAAGGCTGGAGGTGGGGGGGCGGGGGGCATCCTGAACCTATTTCACAGATAAGAGACAAAGCAAACTCCAGAGGGGAGTCTGGGAGAGGGGCCCAGCGGTGGGAGATGCTGAAGGCCCAGGAAGCTCCCCCGCAGCACCCAGCTCACTAACCAGCCTGGAGACACGCAACATGATGAGCAGTTGTCTGCCTGCCTGCCTTCTTCCGCCTCAGCCCAGGCTCCCAGACCCTCTTCCTTGTAACCTGAGCCCACCAGGAACCTGGAAGGTCCTGGAAGGTTATCAAACCATGCCCAGCCAGCAACCCAGGCGGCGGGAACAGAGGCTCCTGCTGTGTGTCCCCAGTCCTGGGTGTACACACCCAGCCGTTTGCATAGCAGGAAGTGTTAAACCGAGAACAAACACACAGAGCAGTGGAGCTGTGGGAACTGGGGGCAGGGTGGGGAGAAGGAGCGCTGGGCTGGGCTGGGAGGAGGAGGGAGCTGGGGAAGGCAGGTTTTTTTCTCCAAGCCCCTTTGTCAGATCACCTCTCAAGAGCCAAGGGCTTAGCTCCTGGAAGGGCCCCAGCTCTAGGAGAGAGAGGAGGGCTTGAGTCTTTAAAACTGAGGCTTATCAGCTGAGACTTGTGCTATGGGGGGGCCCCATCAGTCATAGCCCAGGCCTCCTAGCTCGTCCCTCCCTCGCCCTTGCCTCGGCTCAAGAAAGAGCCAACCCCGGATGAACAAGCTGGGGGGTAAGTGGAGGGACCTACCCTGGGTCACACCCTGGGAGTGGGAGCCCCAGCCTCACAGATTTTGTCTTGAGAGCATGAGCTGTTAGAAAGGCGAGCCGGGAGGGCATGTCTTGGCCCCTAAATCTGTTATCTTCACCCAGACAAATGGAACTCAAATCAGGCCCAATGACAGATGAGAACCGAGCTGGAGTCTAAGAGAGGCCCACTTCCGACAGGAACATGTACCTCCCCTTCCTTCAGGTAACGGGTGTGTGGACAAAAACACAGGTTCTAACCTGAGCTCTCTCCCAGAATGGGAGAAAATAATAGAATATGCTCTCACTTGGGCTCAAAGAGCTTCCCCTACAGACTCACTCGCCCCTCACAATGACCCCAAGAAGAGAGGATGGATATGAATATACCCAGTTTGCAGATGGGCAGAATGAGGCACAAAGGTCCATTAATCTGCTGAAGGTCTAGAGCTGGCAGGCAGTCAGGTGGGGATTCCAAACCATTCCTCTGAACCTCTTTCAAATATGCACCCTTTTACTCATAGTAATGACAGCCATGCCCCTTTGTAAAAAGGCTATAAGGTGGATTTTGGTTGCTTGTCCTCCTTCCTTTGACTGATATTTGAGTGTCTAAGAACCTAGCATTGTACTAGATCCTCAAAATGATCTTCTCAACCCCATGAAGGACAGAGAGAAGGTAATGGCATTGCTCTCATCTTCAGATGAGGAAACTGAGTCTCAAGGAGGTTATCCATGGTTTACCCAAAGCCAGAACTTTGTTTTTTTTTTTTAATTTTTAAAACTTTTAATATTTTTAATGGGGGGGGGGGGAGGAGAACAGTGTCTCATAGCATGTCGGATTATAGTTCCCCAACCAGGGATTGAACCCATGTCCCTTCCATTAGAAGTTCAGAGTCTTAGCACTGAACAGCCAGGAAAGTCCCATCAGTGATTTTGAAAACCAACAACACACGTCAGAAGGCACATGGCCCATACATACACTGCTGCTGCTGCTAAGTCACATCAGTCGTGTCTGACTCTGTGCGACCCCATAGATGGCGACCCACCAGGCTCCCGTCCCTGGGATTCTCCAGGCAAGAACACTGGAGTGGGTTGCCATTTCCTTCTCCAGTGCATGAAAGTGAAAAGTGAAAGTGAAGTCACTCAGTCGTGTCTGACTCTTCAAGACACCATGGACTGCAGCCTACCAGACTCCTCCGTCCATGGGACTTCCCAGGCAAGAGTACTGGAGTGGGTTGCCATTGCCTTCTCCAACATACATACACATATCCACACAAACCAAAAGCTGCCTGAAACAGTACTTATTCTTACTACATGGGATGCATGCCGACATTTACTTTCTCATTCGTTTTAAAATGCTGGTTCACCCCACTTCGCTGATTGAGCAATCCACTACCAATCATGACTCGTAGTTAGAAAGGCAGGGCAGTAAGTCTACTATTCATGGCAGCGTCAAGTCTTGCCTCAGCTCTGGCCCCAGACCAGAGTCCTTATCGACCTGCCAAACTGTTCCTCCCTTGAAGAAATAACTGTGAAGACCAACAGATTCCCAGTAAGATCGCCCACCAACTCATTCCCCTGTGTTACAAAGCGACAACCTCAGTAGTTACTCCTGGGGTAACAAATAGCAAGCCCCCTGGGATACCTGGTGACAACAGCTCACATCTCAGCAAGTACATAAATGCAGATCTTACAGTACTCTTTCTACTGATCTACATCTTCATTTCTTATTCCTCCTTGTTCTGATATCATCTGATGTCTCAGTCTGCAAAACACCCCGGGAAGAGAACTTTCCACGCACAATCACTCTGCATAATATCCAGACACATCTAATACGCACTTTCTTCAGAGGCAAAAACATCTTACATCTGTGGTTACTTCTACCTTTTGAAAATATTGTATTATTCCCCTCCCAGTCCGATTCTCACAACGCCTCCAGCTTGGAGAAGAAACTAAGGCACATTCACAGAGGGCGGCGGTCTGTCTAATGCCTCAGAGCTATGGTGCTTCTGAGAATGACACAGACAGCCTTCCACCTCATTTCCTGCTAGAAGGCCTCAGGATGGTGCTAATAGTTCAGTATTCCAGGGAGGAGGAAGGACTGGGACCAGGGATGACAAAGAGGCCTCAACGTGATTGATTGGTAGAGACTGCCCACAGCATCAGCTGGAGGCGGAGGCTAAGGTCCCACCTGGACAGAGCACTGTGATCCATTAGTAATGTCTGCACTGTCGTTAGGGGTGATGGCGTGTTTGTCACCCCTAGCCAGGTGGTGCTTCTCCTCCTACCTTTCCCAGGGTAAGTAATGGAGACTCGGGGCCAAGAGGCACGGGCCTCTTCTAGCAATGACCTTGGCTGCCAAGCCGTAGGCAGAGCAGTCCACAGACTCTGGCCCTGGGAAGGACTGGTCCACCTCTCTCTCCAATTCCAGACACAGTCTCAGGGCACAAAGACCCCAAAATACATACTTACCAGCAACAGAGCTTCCAGCTGGTTAATATAGATCTCTTCGCTGGCCAGGAACCCTGAGAGAACCAGCTTCCTCATCTCCAGGCCCTTCCCTGCTTCCACCTGTAAAAGCAGATCAGAATCTGAGCAGCCTGTTTTCTTGCTTTTTCTCCCTTCTTCTTTAACATTTTTGCAAGGGGACAAAAGCCAAATACTTATTATAGAAAATTTGGAAAACACAGAAATATAAAAGGAAAAAAAAAATCATCCATACTCATACTGCTCACATCTTGCTTAATTTCTCTTCCATCCATTTCTTCCCCCATGCTTCCTTATCTGATACCCATCTACCCTTATATCTTCCTGCTTCCGGGAGCTCGAACCCACAACTGACAGAGGAGCCGAGCAGGTTACAGTCCATAGGATCACACAGTGTTGGATACGACTGGAGTAACTTAGCACAGCACCCCTTTTTTTTTTTAATTTTTTTATATGAAACTTTTAGTATTTTATTCATTTTCATAGTTTTACAGTATTAGTAAAAATAATGGCCATTATAAATAAGTATAAAATGGAAGTTGATGAAAAAAATAACCCCAAGTCTTCCTTGACTCCCACCCCCCCACCAAAAAACTAGCTAGTATATGGCAAATATCCTTTTCACACATTATCTTTACGCATATATTCACTTTGTAGTGGTGGATGGTTTAGTCGCTAAGTAGTGTCCGACTCTTGTGATCCCACGGACTGTAGCCTGCCAGGCTCCTCTGTCCATGGGGTTTTCCAGGCAAGATTACTGGAGTGGGTTGCCATTTCCTTCTCCAGCACAGCACCCTTATAATGGCTTCTCTGGTGGCTAAGATGGTAAAGAATCTGTCTGCAATGTGGGAGACCTTAGTTCAACCCCTGGGTTGGGAAGATCCCCTAGAGAAAGGAATGGCTACCCACTCTAGTATTCTTGCCTGAAGAATTTCACAGACAGAGGAGCTTGGTGGGCTACAATCCGTGGGGTTACAAAGAGTCAGACACAACTGAGCGACTTACATACTTTCACCCTTATAATAGTGAGCAAGGTAAAAAAAAGAACCTGAGCTCATGCGTGGGAGCAATTTAATGGAGGAGGGGAAAGAGACAGTTAAGGGAAATCAGAGTCATGACTGAGATGGGCGTGGTCACCTGGAGGGCATAGCAGGGGCCAGAGAAGGTTTTTGGTGGAAGACATGTATGAACAGAGAGGAGGAGTAGGGTCAGAGATGACCCGATGGAAGTGGCCATGGAACTCCCAGCCAAGCAGCCTTCTGGCTACACCTCTGACTGTATCTTCCTGCCCCCAGGAGCTCAATCCCACAATGGAAGGTGCTGGCTGTGGGCCCTCAACCTTAACCCTTATACCCACCCTGCCCCAAGCATCTCCTGACACCAACAGGCCTCCCCCCTGCTCCAGAATTCTTTCTCCTCTATGGCAGAGATCATACCCCATTTAGCCTTGAATGGCCACCAACTAGCCAATGTTTCCCGTTATATCTACAGGATAGGTGGGCATGTGTTGAATGAATAAATAAATGAGTGAAGAATCTACTCAAATTCCCCAGTAATCATTTTTTGCAGTATTAAGTACCACCAACAGTGCCTGGTGCAGAGAAAATGCTTGAACACACTTCCTGAGTGAAAAGACATAATTCTTGTCATCTAAGATCCCCAAGTCACTCCTAGCCTCTTCTCTCCCTCTCCTCTGCCACACTGAGTCCCCAATCCCTTCAAAGTATTCTAGCTCATCTCTTACAAGGATTCCTTCCTCTGTTCCACCCTCTCCGCTGCTGTAATTGAGGCCCACAGCAACCTACTCCCCACTGGATTCGGACTGCCTTCCGCTTCTCTCTCCTGCCTCCACTGCACTCAGAGTCAGATCAGTCTTCCCAGAACTCCAGCCTACACCTGCTGCTTGTCAAAGACTTAATACTGCAAAAAGTGATTACTAGGGAATTCGAGTAGGTTCTTTGCTCGTTTATTTATTCATTCGATACACGCCCACCTATCCTGTGGATAAAGGGAAATGAGCATTCAATAGCCCGTACTTTCATGTGGCTTATAAGCTAGTGGGAAAGAAACATGTCAAAACCAAAGCCAAGGACTTCCCTGGTGGTACAGTGCGTAAGAATCCGCCTGCCAATGCAGAGGACGGAGGTTCGATTCCTTGTCCAAGAAGATTCCACATGCCATGGAGCAACTCAGCCCACAGCTACTGAGCCTGTGTGCCCCAACTGCTGAAGCCCGCTTGACCCAGATCCTGTGCTCTGCAACAGAGAAGCCGCTGCAATGAGAAGCACACACCACACCTAGAGAGTAGCCCCTGCTTACCACAACGAAAACCCAGCACAGCCAAAAGTAAAGCAAACAAACAAAAACAAAAGCCGAGTCCGCTGCTCCTGACACGTGCCTGATCTTGTTACCTGCCCGGTGATTTTGCAGGGCCTCTGAAGCACCTGTTGCTTGCTCCTCTGTACCCCGCCCCCTCCCCCCACAAAGCCCAGCACCACGTGATGCTCCTGACATGTGGGCACCTGACACTTATTAAGCCTTGTAAGTTCTTTCCACTCTCTCATTCAGCTTCATTGCCCTCTCAAATACCTCTCCGAAGTGGGTACTATGTTTTTCCATGATACAAATGGAAACAAACAAATAAGACTTAAAAAGAGGGAGGGGACCAGTCCAGAATCACATAGCCAGAAAGTGGCAGAGCTGGGACTCCCTTCTTCTCCCGGGTCCTCGAACACCAAATTCAGGGTTCATCTCCTGCTCTGATGATTCCTTCACTCTTGTGTTCCTTTGTCAAGCTTCAGATGCTTACCTAGAATCTCAAACAGCTCCCTCTTTGGGCATTCAAGCACACACCCTTAGCATAAGCTGAAGCTATGCTAAGCTTCATAATTCTGAAGCTATCAGAAATCTTCTAGGTCCCATGAGAGCTGTTTCTTCCCTGCTGCCTGGCTGCCCAGCAAGTTCTCACAGGCCTCACTACCCTTTCCCCAGGTGAGGAACTTAACCCTTGACCTGCTATCAGCAAACCAGTTAGCAATTTGGCTGGAGGCAGTCTCTCCCAGAGTCTCTGAAATAAAACCTGATCTTGCAATTGGACATCCTGCCAAAGATGTCCACGTTCTCCGCCACAAAACCTGCGACTACGTCACCTTAGTAGCAAAAGGGAATTTGCAAACGTGACTAAGGATTTTTAGGTGGGGAGGTTATCCTGGGATTATCAGATAAAGCCCAGGTAAGAGACCTTTTGGGGCTTCCCTTTTGTGGCTCAGTGGTAAAGAACCTGCCTGCAAGGCAGGAGCCACAGGAGACACGAGTGTGATCCCTGGGTCGGGAAGATCCCCTGGAAGAGGGCATGGCAACCCATTCCAGTATTCTTGCCTGGAGAATCCCAAGGACAGAGGAGCCTGGTGGGTTACAGTCCACAGGGTCGAAAAGAGTTGGACATGACTGAAGCAACTTAGCACAGCACAGCATGCATGCAAGAGACCTATGAGCAGGAGACAAGAGGGTCAGGGTCAGAGAAAAGGCGACTGGCTCACAGAAGGAGAGAGAGGGGGGATGGGGGCGGGGACAGGGAGAGATTCAGTGAGAAACTGAAAGATGCGGCACTACTGGCTTTGAGGACAAAGGATGGGACCATGAGCCAAGGAATGCTGGGGCCTCTAGAAGCTGGAAAAGGCAAGGGAACAGGTCATCTTCCCTAGAGCTTCCAGGAGGAATGCAGCACTCCTGACCCTTGAGACTTGCAAAAGAATAAATCTGTGTAGTTTTAAGCCACCAAATGTGTGGTAGTTGCTTTCGGCAGCATTAGGAGACCAAGTATGGGTGCCAAGGTTTAGGGGAAAACAATAGTTACTTATTGATAGCTTCACAAGTACCAGGCACAGTTCTAAGCGCTTTCTGAGGATTAACTCTCTGGAATCCTGCAGTCTGGATGGTGTTATCATTATCCCTCTGAGGCACAGAGAAAGGAAACTGCCAGCTGTCTAGAGCTGTGGGAATCACAGGCGGGCAGGACCACCTCCAAGGAACGAGACTGGAGCTTGGAGCAAGGCCCACAGGCCCTGGAGGCGGAGGTCAGACCCTGCTGCTTCTGCCTGACAAGTGGGAACTAGCCCTCTATGTTGGGGGCCAGCACTTCCTTCCTGTATCCCATTCCCTTCCTGTTTCCTGCCAACCGGGGATGTGCCCAAGGGCTTGGCAAACACGCTCTCAATAAGTCACCAGGGGGCATAGTGTGAGCTTAACTGTAGACCTGGCTGGACCAAGTCCAGGGTGAAAAGCTGGTGACTCATGGCTCCCACCAAGCCTTTACATTCCACCCCAGGCATGAGCACAGACCCTGGGGTCAGCCCCCATGACAGCCCAGTGCAGCAGGACCCCCTCCTCATGAGACTCCAAACTCAGAGTCCAATCTTGAAAGAATCCCCGCGAACGCAACAAGTAGTCGCTCCCAAGCAGCCCCACTCTGGGCTGTATTCACTCTGATGTCTTGGCTGGTGAGGGGATGGAGGCAAAGGAAAAGGATGTGAAATTAACCATTTTACCAACAGCTAGCTAACCTGTTCTCAGTTAACACCCCAATCCTCTTCCATCTTCGCTTTCCTCAGACCCCACCTGTTCCTGGTTTGAAATTACCTGGAAATTCACAATTCCTTTTTCAGTCCTCCTGGGGCTACTCTCATCCCATAAAACACCAGGGCTCAGGACTTCCTGGTGGTCCAGTGGTTAAGACTGTGCTCCCATTGCAGGGTGCACAGGTTCAATCCCTGGTCCGGAAAGTAACATCCCGCCTGCCGCATGGTGTGACCACAAAACAAACAAACAAGCCAGCAGGACTCAGCATCCATTCACTCATTCCTCACGTGCCCAGCACTGGAAAGACAGGGGAGAGGACAGTCTTGACCCCCAAAAAGCCCCCCAGAGGCACCTACATGCCCAGAATCACCAGGGGGAGTTCTCGGGAGTTCAGGGCCCCCACAGCCTGTGCCAGGCTGCCTGCCAGTCCTGCACACAGGGGAGCTGCCTTCTGGGCGACACTGTCCCCACTTCCTCCCCAAGCAGAGCTTATGAAACTCAGCAGC